GTACCACCTTATATTACTTTGCATGCCTTTATATAACTTATGCATTGTATAAATACCTCATAATCTTCCATATAACTACAGTATAATTGCAAGTACCCTTACTCAACTGATTAGTAAAAAACAATAACCATAACAGAATTTTCAAATTTTCATCATTCAGAATTCAAATCCTGGATGTTCTGCTTGAAGAAATTATAATTTCACCACTTCACTAAATCACCACACCCAAATTAAACAATTTTAAAAATATCAAAAATCAACTTTTTAAATTTTAAAAATAAAACACTAAATTTTAAGTGTCACGCACAAAAAAATTCCTTGCAAAATTTTTGTATAATGCTACCCACTAACCCTAACCCTAATTCAGATTAAGATATCACATTATAAAAAGGTGATATGCGAATAGTCCCAGCAACAGCCAATAGAATATTGAGAAAAAGATTAGTGAAATTACCCCAAACTAACCCTTACGCTAACTTTTATTAAATAGTCAAAAACATATATTGGACACGGGTTTAGACGTATATAATTTTTGATTTTTAGTTTTTATAGTACCAAATTATTTTAATTAAGTTTACATCGTTACTTATCACTAACTTGATAATTTATTTACTTTTAACAAAGTACCATCTCGATCGCGTATAGTAATATCTTTATCCTATATAAACAGGAATAGTGAATATTCGCATCATAATGATAAGTCTTAAAATAGCACGAAGCAAACACATGATTAACATAAAACTTAGATGACATACTTCGCCAATGTTTTTAAATCTAAAGTTAAATCGTTTATTTGTAATTTCGGGATCTTTTCTAATGACTATAGTGGTCTGCAATTGTTGCTTTGTTTTTTCTTCTAATGTAAATGGTTTAATTAATTCTTTTCGTAACTCTTGTTCCTGCAATGATGCCAGGGGCTGACGATTTAATAACTTTGCTGCGTCCTATATATATAAATGTAGTATACACATAATATTTTTCTAAATTAGTTGGTACTAAAACGAATTTTTAACGCGAAAAGATGCATTTAGCTACCTCTGGTGTAAACTTCTTGCCTTCATCTACAAGACAAAATCTCGGCTTTCCAACCTTTGGTAACATTTCCGTTAATGATTCTTGACGATGTGATCGCGCACCCATCATTTTTTCCATATTTATTGAAAAATTTTTTTGAATAGGTACACCCTTTAATATTTTTTATCAAGAAAATAAGGAATCATAACATTATGAAAATATATAAAAGAAAATCTTTATAACTGCTCTTCGATCTGTAGTAATTGGCTCAGTGCGATTTATTAATAACCATAAATTTTTGTCTTCAAGACTAATCGGTTAAGCATCATAACCAACCTACATTTTCAAAATGTTTTGCCAAAATCCCAATAAAATTTATCAAATTCTACAACCTAAGTATGATTTACCTGCTGAACCATGTCTTTCTCCAATTTTTTTAACTTAAGTATAGCTTCGACACGTTTGATCGAAATTCCATAAAATGTCCCGAGTTCTCTTACAGTTTGTCCTGTTTCTATAAAGCTTTTCCAAATTTCTTCCCTCGCTGAATCAGATAAAGGGGGTTGAGGCTTATATTGTGGATTCATTGGGAATGGCTACTATCAATTCGATACCCGAAATAAGAATTGAAACATTGAACAAGATCAATTATTCAAGGTTCTTTTAAAAAAGACAACTAAAAAAGATACATACACAATTAGATTGAAGATAATTCGTTTGACCTAACAATGGCTTTTCAAATCTTTTTCCTTCACCCGCCAAGAATGCTCTAAAGTATGGATGTTTGATTTTACGTTTTAATGAATTCATTGCGTTTGTTTTTTTTTTTTGCTTTTAGGATCTTTCAAATTGATAGCCAAAAAATTTTGCGAACTCGTGTAACTACGACATTAATATGTACCAATCAGAATCGAAGATCGGTTTAAATATCTAAGGTTTCTCATTGGATCTGATAAAAATTTTGTAAACATAATTTGGTCTAGTACTGTAGTAGTACAGTTAGTGTTTTGACCCGGGTGGGTCTTACCCAACAGGGGGAACCGTCACATCATTTGTAGATCTGTTACACAATTCATAAAAATTTTTTTTATATTGTTTTAAAGTA